CCGAAGGCCACCAGTGATATTTTATCACGTTTTAGTTCCGAAAAAGGCAAAAACCATCGTATTTTCAAAAAAATCTCTAAAAGGATGATGGGAGTTTTAACGACCTTGACTGGCTATACAGCCCTCGCACGGTCGGTCTCTAAAAGTTGCTGAATTTAAGAGCCTATATCAAAAGATAGGCTTTACCTAGCTTTAGGGGTTTTAAATAAAAACCGTTTAGGAACCAGATTGTGGCTTCTTTATATTTATATTAGAATTGAAATTCAAGGCAGTATTTTGTCGAAGAGAACATTTACCCAAAGAGCAACATGCGAGAAGAGGATTGATTTTCCCTTAAATTTTTTTATTGAAGTGACTAATCTTTTGAGGTTACGTCACGGAAATATATTTTAAATGAAAAGGTGCAACTGGATGCATCCCTAAAATCAAATTAAAAAAATATATAATAAAATGACGGGTATTCGTCAATCAGACAGCAATCCAACATAAACACAAGTGGGTTACCTGACATCTAGAATAAGAGGTTTAAGCATAACCCGCGCTGGTATCAACTTTCTGAGTTCTGAGTAAAATGCAATATACATGTAGGACTCTGAAACGTGAAATATACTAAAGTTTTTTTTTACGTACGATTGAGAGTGGCATTCCCTAAATACATACGGGTCCACAAACTATTCTTGTTATAATATAACGGTAAATGAAGTTCTCATTAGAGGAACAAAGTAAAGATACATGTTGAAGCAAGAATAATTTCCACATGCAGAACATCAAAAAGGACGATCTCTCAATCAGAATATGCATCTGTAACAAATACATCTATAGACAATGGCACTAGTAAATGCTTTATATATTGACATTGAAACAAATATACTGCTCATAATAATTGCACATCTGTAGACTTTAATCTAGGTAGCCCGCGTTATATAAACCATCGCACACCAGAGCACTTCACGCGTGACCATCAAACTTCATGATCCCCATTGCACCTCCGAGTCATACATATAATTATATACATTTATTTTACTTGATTTTGATAATTGCAAACACTTTTATACAAATTTTCTGATAATGGTTTTTATTGTATTAAAGTAATAATTTTAATTCCCGTAGGGATTGCCCAAAGAAATAAGGTTTATTTAAGGGTTTACACATCTTCATAGCTAAAATATTTCAATACTTATGTCACGAACAGATATCTATGACAAAAATTTCTTAAATTGTCAGTATATAAATTTAGAATTTTTTTTTAAGAAAGTTGAACGTAGGTTCAGCTACAGTAGACTAAGTTGGCCTTTGATGGATTGAAGGCTTATGTAAAAATAAGAAAATGTGGTATTATTGCTATTGAGACAACTATTCAAGAATGTTCAAACCAAGAGGAATGTTAGCAGTTATATTTATACGACCTTCAAAAATGAAAAATACGGAAACCGTAAAGTCGGTTATTAAAGGCCCCGCCCCGACATGAAAAAAATATGAAACAATTCAATTCAGCAAACTAACGGCTTTCTTTATAACAAGTTGAATATCATATGGTGTACTTTTTTTGTACGTATTACTAGACAAAAGTTGCTGGATCTTGATAGATGCATACGAAACTTCAGTGAATTGTTTGTATTTTTCAAAACAACTAAAAAATGAAGAAAAAAAATCTATCGGGTAAATTTCTGAGACAAAACTTATCCCTATTGGAGTCAAACTGGTCATATGGATTCGTAAAGGACAAAAAATATCCTAGAAGGTTAACAAAGTACTATTGTAAAAAAAAATTTTTTTCTGATATCAATCTTTTAGACAAACATTAAAAACGGTGTCTCGGATATGCAATCATGGCACAATGAAATGTGAATCCGAGAAAGTGTTACATGTTTATTTTATTTAAATAAAGAATTGTTATGATAATACCATAGATTTAACTGTTTTTTCAGAAAATTAAAAAAAAACTGTATTTTAAACCCGTAAACACAATTTCAAGTTAAAAAAGTTCCTCAATTAAAAATCTTTCTTAAGGAATAAGTGATATATTTGCCTGATCTTATCGTGACTTGTTTAATTACAAAATGCCTCCAAGCACATATAATGTTTATTTTTATTTAATTTGCCACAAAACGTATTTAGCTTAGTTTTATAAAAAAAAAACACTGTTGAAGAGAAAATACATATCCGTGTTAAATTCGCCTCAGTTTGTTAATTCAAGTTTGACAACTAACTTCTTAATCCGCAATCCACATTTACCCGACATCCTTGTATATTGTATTTTCTTAATGGAATACCCCCATGTTCATGTGACCGTCAGAAACTGAGACAAATATAATATTTGTAATGGTATTTATCAAAACTTAAATGATTGTATAGATTTAAGTAAAGTTTATTGTTTCAATATTTTTAGATTCAATATTTTATTATAGTCTCACCACATACACACATAAAATGGGATTCACAGAAATAAACATGAAACATTAAAACATTTCCACTGTATATGCACCAATCTTAAAAGGATTTATGAGAGACTTTTAAGACATAATATATACATATAAACATATTTTTTACTCATTTACATTTAAAATTTACAGTGTCCATACTAAATGAAATTAAAACATTTGTTTCTTTAAGAACTAGTAAAATAAAATACCGTTTTTTTTCAATAAAATATTGTTGATGTTTTTGGCAACTATAGCAGCAACATTGTCGTTATTAAATAAAAATATAAATTTTTCGCTATCTGGTAATAGGTTAAAATGTTCATTAAAATGTTAAGCTTAATGTATTATGATTTGTCTTAAATCTACATATAATGGGCATTTTAAAAGGACGTGAAGTTCATCTTCAATAGTAGAGCTACAAAACATGTCATCTCGTGGACTTCTTTTCTTTCATACCTTCCAGTTTCTATTTTAGTGGAGCTACCCCACATCTAAATCTTGCAAAAGTACTGTTGGTTTTTAATTGACAGAATATTTTTAACAAGAAACAGTTGTTCCATAAAATATTTCTTTAGCCTATTTCGCTCAGTTGAATAGAAAATCAAATTTTAACTGTTCTGTAGTAGAAATGTCATCATGTTATTGTTTGTACGTATCTAACATGTATCATTATATTAAAATGTCTCTGAGTCCCAGCCAAGACTCACTGAATAAACACGAAATATTTACAGACAGATAAATAAATTTTACACAAAAAGTCATGAATCTGAATGAACGTTATGTACGATGAAGTTAATTAAGAGTTCATAAGAAAGTAAGTAAGAATATAAATTTTATTTAAAGTTGGAACATATATACACTATAACAGATATAATATAAACTTTGATGAGCTCTATAACCGACTATCATATAAAAACCACAACGAATGAACGTTACACGATTAGAGATGAACGATTGACGAATGCACGTTCCACGATTATATACGATTGATGAACGCACGTTACACGGTTAAGAATGAATGATTGATGAGCGCACGATACACGGCTAAGAATGAATGAACGATGCACGCACATTACACGGAAAACACACGGAATGATGAATGATGAGCGCACGATTGGTACACGCACGAAACACGCACGATACACGATGAACGCACGGAAAAATGGTCAGTTTGAATTTTAGAAGGTCTGTATGACTGTGATGTATGTGGGAAAGGGTTTAGCCGGCTTGATTATTTACAGATACACATGAGGACTGTAATGTATGTGGAAGAACCTTTAGTAAGCATAATAGCTTAAAAAGACACATGATGATAACGCATTCCGTCGACAAACCTTATGGCTGTGATGTATGTTGTTAAGGCTTTAATCAGCTTTATTTTTTAAAGAGACACACGAGGACACATACAGGTGAAACACCTTATAACTGTAATGTATGAGGTAAAGTGTTAAGTGAGCATGGCACATCGTTACAGATTCATACGAGAACAAACACAGGTGGTAACAATAATGACTGTGATTTATTTGGTAAAAGAATGAGAAAACATGCATGTGATCATACTGATATTATAGGGAAAAGTAGTATTACATTTTCCAGGCTTTAGGTTGGCTTTTTGTGTAACCAAGGCGGCGAAGGATGTCAACTGTGAATGAATGTAAGGGTAAAATACATATACAATTTTAGGTCTATGTCAGGAAAATATAAACTTTTTTGTATGAGGCTGAGAAACTAGGGAAGGGCGAGGTTCTACCGAGCCCTTCCCCAGTTTTGCGCCGAGTACAAAAAAGTTTATATTTTTATGACATTGACCTAATATTGTTTTTATACTGCAACTTAAATTAATACATTGATAGCTTTTTAAATCGTAACACAAATGTCAAACAAAGACAATAACTGTTAAAAATGATATTTGTCTCCAACCCATGCTTTTAAAAAAGTAACAAAATTTATAATTTTGACCCTAAATGATTTGATTGATATGTAACATAAATCACAGAAAGACATTATATATATGCACATCGTCAAATGATTAAAATCAGCTGGGCAGTATATTATTTGCCTCTTACCCATACTATTGGAGTTTTTGCGATCAAAACATTAAAATTGTTGGAGATCAGACGGACGGACAAGGTGAAAACAATAGAAAGGGCTCCAACATCCACTATATGCCGGTCAAATATTATTCCAATGAAATTTACTAGTGTAGATTTAATTCACATCAAATAATGCTTTTCATTTGTATAAACGCTTAAAGAGGTTTTTCGTGATATCTGGGTTCTCAAAATAAAATTTGCACTGAAAAAAAGCTTATTTTGAACACATGTAAATTTTAAATATTAGAATTAATCTAAAAAACGAATGGTGCCGCTAAAAGCCTATAATTTATTATTTTGTTTATATTCAAAACTTGTATTCAACATCTTCAAAGAGTTCTCTTTGATCCTGGTTAATTTTAGGTACAGTGACATAACAATTGAAGAACTGATTTAAAATTAATGTTCCGTAAATATCTCCTTACTACATTCTATTTTTTGCAATCGTGCGTTCCATAGGTATATCTTTATTATCTCCCTTTGAATTTTATTTTGAGGCGCACGTCACGCTAAGGTTAAATTAAGCTCGTTTACCTTTACTAGTCTAACAAATGGTAAGTTTTTGTATTTTTGCATTTTGATAAAGTAATTTCTGTATTCGCTAAATCAAGATTAATATAAAAAAAAAGTGTGCATTTTTAACCAAAATCACGTTCATCCGAAGTCCTTTGTTAGATTGGAAAATATATGGAAAGCCTATTTAACATTAATAAGTTATAAGAATCTCCCTAGTTTTTACCATCAACTCGATGTACAATGAACTTTTAAAATAAATGAGAACTAGAATGCATATGATATTTGCACAGGAATTTGTCTCTGAGGATAATTACCTTTTTACTTTAATATATGACATATATTGATAATAATCATGATAATATATTTGTATTAAAGGTATATCCCCCCCGCAGGTGCCTGTTGTTTTGAGGCCTGTTTGATGTTCATTCAGTATTGTTCTTTGTAACTGTCAGTGTGAGTGAGAAAACAATGTCTCTCCAGTCATGCGCATTTGCCCTTTTTTAGTCCACTACCGACGAAGTCGAAGGGGACAGTGGGACTTTAGGTTGCACTCCGTCCGTCGGTCTGTCTGTCTTCAACATGCAGAAATTGATTCAGTGATGTTTGGTATATTGTTTTATCATGACAAGGTACATATCAAGTTCAAATATTGTTCCAGTTTGATGAGTTTGTGCAGAGTTATGGTCCTTTGACTTAAACAATTCACTAAAATAATCAGTTTTCTTCATTTTTTTGTGTCATTCTTGAAGATATTGATTTGATAATTGGTGATTAGTTTTATCATGACATGTTACAGATCATGTTCGAATTTTGTTCCGGTCTGATGATTTTTGTGCAGAGTTATGGTCCTTGGACTTAGAAAATTCACTTAAATAATCAGTTTTTCGAACTTTTTTCGTCATGTTTAAAGACATTGATTTGAAAATTGGCATATAGTTTTATCATGAAAAGATACAGATAAAGTTCGAATTTTGTTGCGGTCAGTTTTCCACAATTTTGTTTTGTCATGCTTGAAGATATTGACTATTTGTGATAAAGTTTACATCATGACAAGTTATAAATCAAGTTAGAATTTTGTTCCAATACAATAAATTAACCGTTTGGGGAATACGTATTGTCATGCAATACTCACAGAATGCTTGTTAAAATTTAGTTTCATTCTTTATATTAGATGAGAGAGACGAAAGATACCGAATGGACATTTAAACTCATAAATCGAAGTAAACTGACAACGCCATGGCTAAAAAAGAAAAAGACAGACAAACAATAGTACACAAGACACAACACAACATATTAAACTTAAGACTAAGATCACTAGGCAACACGAACAAGAAAATGTTTTGACTAATGTGTAGTTTTATTTTATTCACTTAGTAAGGGATCAAGTTACCATTTAACTTCAAGGACAAAGGAGGGGTTATGTTTTTCGTCTGAGTCGGAAACTTTTTATTCCATGGAGAGCATGAATATTTTTGTTTTTCAACGCTATCAATCAAATTATTTTTTTCAATATTTAACACTTTAAATTGAGGAGAGAATCTGGATTCAGAACTTTTTTTGTCATCTGCATGACCACAATATATTTTTTTTAATTTGGGTTCAGAATATATTTTTTAGAAAAAAGACATAACCCCCTCTCTCTTAACATAACACATAAGTTCACATTGCTGATTAAGTTTCTTTGACGAATATATGTTATATGTAGTTGGATTTTATCAACTAAGTTATACTTAAATTTTATCATTTTTAGTTTGGCTGAATTATGTTTAAGAGTGGACAAGAAGGTGCATGGCATTAGAAAAGATTTTATCGTGAAAATTTAGCATTCTCCGTTACAATCTCTGTTATTCTAACCTGACTAGACAATTCTAAGATGTTTCGCAGTGGTCATGGTGGACAGGAGTTGACGGGAAAAGATAGATTTTCAGAAACAAAAAATAAAGAGCTTTTAACTGTTATCTCCCCCGACCAACCAACAGAAAATTTAGAGACGTTCCACGGCAGACAGGACGAGACAGAAATAAATATGGTTTCTGATACTGAAATCTCCCCTGAACAACCCACAGACAATTTAGAGACGTTCCACGGTGGGCAGGACAAGACAGACCCTGAACAACCAACAGACAATTTAGAGATGTTTCACGGCGGACAGAACAAGGCAGACCCTGACCAACCTACAGACAATTTAGAGATGATCCATGGTGGACAGGACAAGACAGAAACAAATATGGTTTCTGACACTCAAAATATACTAACAGTCATCCCTCTTGATCAGACTAGTACAGACCAACTGATGGACAAGGCATATCAGACTAGGAAGAAGTTTGATGCTGGTAATGAATGGGGTAAAGAGTACCAGGGAAGTGTGTATGGTAAAGAATGTCATGGTAATGTTTGTGCTAAAGAATGTCATGGTATTGGTTGTGGTAAAGAATGGCATGGTAATGTTTGTGGTAGAGAATGTCATGGTAATGAATGTGGTAAAGAACGTCGTGGTAATGTTTGTGGTAGAGAATGTCATGGTATTGGTTGTGGTAAAGAATGGCATGGTAAAGAGTACCAGGGAAGTGTGTATGGTAAAGAATGTCATGGTAATGTTTGTGGTAAAGAATGTCATGGTAATGTTTGTGGTAAAGAATGTCATGGTATTGGTTGTGGTAAAGAATGTCATGGTATTGGTTGTGGTAAAGAATGGCATGGTAATGTTTGTGGTAGAGAATGTCATGGTATTGGTTGTGGTAAAGAATGGCATAGTAAAGAGTACCAGGGAAGTATGTATGGTAAAGAATGTCATGGTAATGTTTGTGGTAAAGAATGTCATGGTATTGGTTGTGGTAAAGAATGGCATGGTAATGTTTGTGGTAGAGAATGTCATGGTAATGAATGTGGTAAAGAACGTCATGGTAATGAATGTGGTAAAGAATGTCATGGTATTGGTTGTGGTAAAGAGTACCAGGGTTGTGTGTATGGTAAAGAATGTCATGGTAATTTTTGTGGTAAAGAATGTCATGGTAGTTTTTGTGGTAAAGAATGTCATGGAAATGAATGTGGTAAAGAATGTCTTGGCAATGTTTGTGGTAAAGAATGTCACGGTAATTTTTGTGGTAAAGAATGTCACGGTAATTTTTGTGGTAAAGAATGTCATGGTAATGTTTGTGGTAAAGAATGTCATGGTAATGTTTGTGGTAAAGAATGTCATGGTAATGAGTGTGGTAAAGAATGTCATGGTAATGTTAGTGGTAAAGAATGTCATTGTATTGGTTGTGGTAAAAAATGTCAAAGAAATATGTGTGGTAAAGTGTGCAAAAGTAATATTTTTGGTAAACAGTCGCAAAATTGTGTGTGTGGTAACGAGTACCAAAGTAATTTGTGTGGTAAAGAGTTTCAAAGTAATTTGTGTGGTAAAGAGTTTCAAAGTATTTTGTGTGGTAAAGAGTTCCAAAGTAATGTGTGTGATACAAATTACCCAAGTAATATATGTGGAAAAGATTTCAACGGTAAAGTGTGCATATGTAATATTTGTGGTAAAGAACGTCATGGTAATAATTGTGGTAAAGAGTGCAAAACTAGTGCATGTGGTAAACAGTGCCAAGAAAAGGCATTCAGCTTATGTAGTAAAGGATTTCATCAGACTCGGGTCTTAAAGAGTCGCATTATAAAACATAAAGGCTATGAACCTTTTAAATGTGGAATGTGTGAAGTGGATTTCAGTAAGAATAAATACCTACAACAACACATGAGGATACATACTGTTGATAAACCTTATAGATGTGAAGTTTGTGGTTCAGTATTTCGCATGTCACATCACTTACGGATACACACAAGAACACATACTGGTGATAAACCATTCAAATGTGATATATGTGATAAGGCATTTAGACAAAGTTCTCATGTGCTGACCCACAAGAAAACACATACAGGTGAAAAACCGTGTAAAATATGTAAATGTGATGTATGTGAAAAGGAATTTAGTCAGCGTCCTGACTTAAACGGACACATGAGAACACATACGGGTGATAAACCTCATCAATGTGAGGTATGTGATAAAACTTTCAGTAGGAAGGAACACTTACGACTACACATGAAAATACATACTGGCGATCAACCGTTTGCATGTAATGTATGTGGTAGAGGTTTTAATTATAAAATCGACGTTCAAAGACACTCAAGAAGGCATTCTAAATGTGTTGAAAGACCTTATAAATGTAATATTTGTGATAAAGATTTTATTCGGAAACAGAACTTACAGAATCACATGAGAATACATACAGGGGAAAACCCATATGAATGTGAAACCTGTGGTCAAACATTTAGTCTTTCAATTTTCTATGCTAGACATATGGCAAAGCATGGTGCTGAGAAGGACAAATTAGTTTAGTTCAAAATAAGCAAAATAAGGAATTCATATGGCTGACATTCTGACCTATATTTCTAAGGGATGAAACTCTAAACGAATTGCCTTTTTGTATGACCATATCTTCATAAACGTTATATATTTGACAAATAGTGTTAAATAAATAGGGAACTATCATTTAACTTTAAAAAAATATTCTGATTAATGTATTCGTCATTAAAATTAATGATAATTTCTTGTAAAAAAATATTAAAGCTTGTGTGGTCCGAAAAAAACCAAACCCTCGATGTCGAAGTTAAAATGGTTGTTCCCTGGCAAAGGAGACGCATAACTGACACCAAGGCACACACAAGAATTGGCAGTTTTTAAAACATATACGAATACACACGTATACAAAGGAATAACCACTTTTTACGAACAGAGCACACACAAATAAACGAAGTGTTTCTTTAATAGACACATTAGTAGAAACAAACAGAAATTACCACTCAGAGACACAACAGAACATGTCCACACACCGAATTACAACTCGGAGACAGTATAAGATAGAGCACATACACACACCCGAATTACCACTCAGAGACACAGTATGATATAGAGCACACTCTAATTACCACTCAGGGACACAGTATTATATAGAGCACACTCGAAATTACCTCTCAGAGACACAGTAAGATATAGAACACACTCGAATTACCATTCAGAGACACAGTAAGATATAGAACACACTCGAATTACCATTCAGAGACACAGTAAGATATAGAACACACTAGAATTACCATTCAGAGACACAGTTTCATACTGAGTACATCAACACACCCTAATTATCACTGTAGAACATAGTATGGTATAGAGTACACACAAACACACACACAACCTAATTACCAATCAGAGACACAGTATTATATAGCATGTATAGAGCACACTCGAATTATCACTCGGAGACATAGAATGATATATATAGCACTCTCGAATTACCACTTAGAGACACAGTATGATATAGAGCACACTCGAATTACCACTCGGAGACACAGTATGATATAGAGCACACTCGAATTACCACTCAAAGACATAGTATGATATAGAGCACACTCGTATTACCACTCGGAGACACATTATGATATAGAGCACTCTCGAATTACCTCTCAAAGACACAGTATGATATAGAGCACACTCGAATCACCACTCGGAGACATCGTATGATATATAGCACACTCGAATTACCATTCAGAGACACAGTAAGATTTAGAACACACTCGAAATACCATTCAGAGACACAATAAGATATAGAACACACTCGAAATACCATTCAGAGACACAGTAAGATATAGAACACACTCGAAATACCATTCAGAGACACAGTAAGATATAGAACACACTCGAATTACCATTCAGAGACACAGTAAGATATAGAACACACTCGAATTACCATTCAGAGACACAGTAAGATATAGAACACACTCGAATTACCATAGCACACTCGAATTACCATTCAGAGACACAGTAAGATATAGAACACACTCGAATTACCATTCAGAGACACAGTAAGATATAGAACACACTCGAATTACCATTCAGAGACACAGTAAGATATAGAACACACTCGAATTACCATTCAGAGACACAGTAAGATATATAGCACACTCGAATTACCATTCAGAGACACAGTAAGATATAGAACACACTCGAATTACCATTCAGAGACACAGTAAGATATAGAACACACTCGAATTACCATTCAGAGACACAGTAAGATATAGAGCACACTCGAATTACCATTCAGAGACACAGTAAGATATAGAACACACTCGAATTACCATTCAGAGACACAGTAAGATATAGAACACACTCGAATTACCATTCAGAGACACAGTAAGATAAAGAACACACTCGAATTACCATTCAGAGACACAGTAAGATAAAGAACACACTCGAATTACCATTCAGAGACACAGTAAGATATAGAACACACTCGAATTACCATTCAGAGACACAGTAAGATATAGAACACACTCGAATTACCATTCAGAGACACAGTTTCATACTGAGTACATAAACACACCCGAATTACCACTGGGAAACACAGTATGGTATAGAGCACACACACACACAACCGAATTACCATTCAGAGACACAGTATGATAAGGGAGCTACCATTTGATTTTTAGGGGGGGGGGGGGCTAGGATGAAATTCGAAAAAAAGGCAGGACAGGAGTTTTGAGTACAAAATAAGGCAGGATGAGCAACTTTGCAAAAAAAAAGGCAGGATGACAATTTATGTAAAAGAAAGTCAGGATAAACTAATAAAAAAAAAAGCCAAGACCGAATACCCCCCCCCCCCCTCCCCCCTAAAATTCAAATGGTAGCTCCCTAAAGAGCACATACATTCAAACGAATCAACAATGTACCACACAGTGACACAGTATTATAAAGAGCACATACACACAACCGAATTACCACCCAAATACACAGTTTAATATACTATACACACTGCACACACCCGAATTACCACTCGAAGACACAGTATAATATAGAACACATACATACAACAAAGTTACCACTCGGAGACAGTTTTATATGGAGCACATATACACAATCGAATTACCACTCGGAGACACAGTATGATAGAGAACACATGCACACGAACGAATAACCACTTACAGACACAGTAGAATAAAAAGCACATACGCACACCCGAATTACCACTCAGACCGTGCAAGGGCTGTACAAAATGTATAACCAGTCAAGGTCGTTAAAACTTCCATCGTTTCGAATTACCACTCAGAGACACAGTATGATAAAGACCATATACGCAGCACCAAATTACCATTCGGTGACGCAGTATAATTTAGAACACATACACACATCCGTACTAAACTAGTAGAAATAAAAATGTGTAAATAGCGAGAACAAATGGCGACAACAAACTTTGCATAATGATATGTGAGGTAAACTTCAGTGAGATTAAGAAAACCCATATATATCATAAATACATCTAAATTGCTATTACAGTGTTAAAAAATACAGGTGTTTATTCAATACGGCAAGCTCTGTCTTGTCCCTAGTGTAGCAAGTAGACCGGTATTTATTCAATACGTCAAGCTCTATCTTGTCCCAAGTGTAGCAAGTAGATAGACCGGTATCGTTTCAATACACCAGGCTCTATCTTGTCCCGAGTGTAACAAGTAGACAGGTATCCATTCAATACGTCAAGCTCTATCTTGTCCTGAGTGTAACAAATAGACAGGTATTTATTCAATACGCCAAGCTCTATCTTGTCCCTAGTGTAGAAAGTAGACAGGTATTTATTCAATACGCCAAGCTCTATCTTGTCCCGAGTGTAACAAGTAGACATGTATCTATTCAATACGCCGAGCTCGATCTTGTCCCGAGTGTAACAAGTAGACAGGTATCTATTTAATACGCCAAGCTCTATCTTGTCCTGAGTGTAACAAGTAGACAGGTATTTATTCAATACGCCAAGCTCTATCTTGTCCCGAGTGTAACAAGTAGACAGATGTCTATTTATTACGCCAAACTCTATCTTGTCCCGAGTGTAACAAGTAGACAGATGTCTATTTATTACGCCAAACTCTATCTTGTCCCGAGTGTAACAAGTAGACAGATGTCTATTTATTACGCTAAACTCTATCTTGTCCCGAGTGTAACAAGTAGACAGATGTCCCTATGCCAAGCTGTATCTTGTCCCAAGTGTAACAAGTAGACAGATGTTTATTCAATACGCCAAGAAATTTAATGAATTCTTACCTTGTTTACTTTTTTTTCCATTCCATTCAGCTTCGTTAGTACCCAATTTTCGGTGGCGATGATACACAGTGAGACTAGATAGCTTATGTTAATGATATCGATGCTATTCATGGAGTTTTTAAAACAACAAAACTATAGATGCTCTGCATGGATTTTTTTTAAACAACTAGACTAGATAGCTTATATTAATAATGCTCTTCGTGGGGTTTTTAAAACAACAAAACTAGATATAGCCTTTGTAAATGGTGCTCTTCATGAGGCTTTTAAATAAAAAAAAAACTAGATAGCTGATGCTAATATTAATGGTGCTTTTGGTGGGATTTTTAAAACAACAAGACTAAATAATGTGTGTTAATAGTGCTCTTCATGGGATTTTTAAAACAAAAAACTAGATAGCTGATGCTAATATTAATAGTGCTCTTGATGGGAATTTTTAAAACAGCAAGACTAAATAACGTATGTTAATAGTGTTCTTCGAGTGGTTTTCAAAACAAGACTAGATACTAGTAGCTTATGTTACTGTTGCTCTTGATAGGGTTTTTAAAACAACAAGACTAAATAGCTTACTAGTATGTTACTGTTGCTCTTCATGAGGTTTCTAAATTTCTGCAAGTAAAAACTGTATATATATATAGCTATGAAATTTACTAGAAGGAAATATGAGCATACAAAACTTGGCATTCATATATTGATATGTTGAAAAAAGTTACAGCCGGTTGCATTGCGTGTGTAGGTAACGGTAATATCTTTGGGTAGCTTGCTTGCTAGCTGAACCGTGAAGTCATTATTAGGTTAGGTACTAAACTTCCCTCCTTTAAGAGTAGCCTTGTCCGACAGATAACCAATATAGCTGTCTGTAGGACAAGGCTACTTATAAAGAAGGGTAGTATACCCCCCTTTTGACTCCTGCCAACTCATTCCAATGCTCCCTCCTATGTATTTATTACCCCCTGTCCATTCCTCATAAATGTCTCATGTAATGAAAATTATATATTTGAATATGGCCAAAGGCACAATTTTTTGGCAGTTAAGCTGCCATATGCTAGCACCCTAGATATGTGTTCTTCCCACTGAATGTTGAAAAAAGTGCTGTTGTTGTTATCTATCTGGCTAATATGTTATTAATAACTAATTGGGCACATTTTTTATACTATCAATTCTGGAATACAAAAAATATGACCAGAAAAACCTTAAATGATCGACGAACAACCCAAAAGTTTTGAAGTTGCACATAGGAAGTACTGCTCAATAGAAATCCTTATGTAGTTTATTTTCCCCTGTACTTTTGGCTAAGATGTCAAAGAACAATTGTATGTAATATTTAATCGCATAAAATCTCTAAAGACAAGTCGTTTACATTTCCCAAATGGCAAAAGTCGTAGGAATATTGTTTGTCGGCAATACGTATTACAGTAGTCCAAGTTGGCGGCAATTTTACCTGTTACATGCTGTTACCTAGTCTTTATCTTCCTCCTCTAGCAGGAGCTTCGCTTCTGCGGCGTACTTCTTTATTAACTTAGAAGACGAAATTTACGTACCTTTTAAATTTGGAGGATTCTGATGATAGAAAGGTAATCATTGTTAATCATGATATTCTTTTTGATTTCAATTAAATGTATGCACATTTGAATTCCTTTTATATTATTCCGTTTATCACATAACTGACCTTGTTAAATTATGATGTTGTTGTTATTTATGAATAAAATTAACCGGAAATCGACGTTGATTGGTCGATATATTTCAAGACGGTCTCACTAATTAGCGACAAGAAGAATTGTAGAGACAGGAAGCGACAAGAAGAAAAAAGTTAGCGATAAGAAGACACATTTAGCGACAAGAAAGTTTATATACTACTAATTAAAAACAATACATTTAGAGAAAAGTCAATTAATTACAGTTGATTATTTTCTGTTTTATAAAGTTTAAAATAATGTTATATTTAGTAGCACTACGTACTTCTTGATGCTTCTTGTCGCTTCTTGTCTCTAATTAGTGGGACCCTTTCAAGATGTCAAACTTGCCGAGAACGAAGTAGAATGTGATATGGATTTAAGACTCAGAAAGATCGTTGGTCATAAGACACACGCAAATGTAGAAAAACTGTTTATACATTACTGTATATAGGTACGGATGTCTGAAAATGTATAAAATCAGCGAAAATCAATAAAAAGCAAATGTGAATTGGGAAATATATGCGGACAGAAGAATTCGGTCTACATCATCATGATCATGACATGAAGCCAGTGTCCGACTCTCAGGCACTTGTTTCTAACCATGGGAAGATCCAGTATCAATGTATATTTAGGAGCGCAAAATATAAGATGATAGTAGATCTTCCCATGCATAGAAACAAGTGCCTGTGGTCAGACTTTGACATTTCAATGTTTATGATATTTTTTCTAAACCAAAACTTTTTTTTTATTTCTGGGCCTTAACATTTACTAAAGACAGGTCAATCAGACCTCACCTTTGATCCCTGTAATAGTAATCCTTTGTCTGATTTTTGTCTCATAATTGTTGTACTGTAGAACTTAAATTGACCAAACTCAGTGTTCTCCCCCGGAAATTAAGTCAACTCATACTATTGCAAACTCGTACCATGTCAATTCGTACCACTAAAAGTCAACTCATACCAACATTAACTACTAAATTTTGAAACTCACAATGTAATTCTATCTGATAGACCTATCAGAGACCATGTGTCAACTTACAACAGACGCAAACTAAAACAAAATATATTAAATGACATGTTTGTTTTAAATTGAATAAAAAAAAAAAAAATTTAACATAATTTTATCTCTCAAACTGCACATCTTTTTGTCAAAAAATCAAACTTTGATCTGACACTTAAAAAAGTATATCCCATGACGATTTCTTTTTAATTTCATGAACAAAACTTGTGTAAATATATTTTATCATGATTGTACGTCTAAATAAACAATATAAATATTTGTATTTGTTTTTATTTCAGTTAGATTCCAATTCTTGGCTTTAATATCATAGAAGTGAAAAGACATACATGTACAATACATGATTCTATCTAGTAGCTGCATTGACTAGTCGTCAAAAAAAATTCCATGACAGCTATGAAACTCGAGACCATTATGACGTTTTGAATATAATTATCTGTACATGTATATCTACAGATATAAGTACATGTACTGTGAAGATTTTTACCAGGTCTTATCATATGACGACTATTCAGACAAATTTAACAGTCCAGCTATTTTTAGAGGCTGTCTAATGACAGATACTTTCAGAACTATGATATGACTGTGTAACTGTTACTACAAAGAGGGAGATACATTGTAATATTGCACACTATTAATATATATATATAAGAAGTACACCCAGTTATCAGTTGTATAAAGATAGTTTGAATTCATAATGATGATACATTGTGCAGATACATGAAATATGTTTTATAAAGTATGTAAGAAATGAAGAACTTCGTATTGAAATATTAAAAAAAGACAGACAAAATATTTGTATAAAATTTGATGTAAATTAAATACATTGGACACTAATAGAAGTACAATAATGTAAAAGAAAATTAAAAAATAAATATGTTGCATCATTGCTAGGCTAACAACATCAATATTTTGTGTAATATGATCCATGCATGACAAACAATTAAATTACACCACCTCATATTGTTCCCAGTATTATTAAATCAGTTTGTGTACTGAGTGGCACGTGCTGATCTAACTAAAAATGCTAATGTGGCATATGAAAACTCTTAGTACATAGTGGAATTAAACTATATACCACTGTGGAACACTGTAATTCTGATGACATTGTTCCTGCATAAGTTTAATTCATTCATCAGTGTATTGATAAGTTGATAGAAGTTAGCGTCTGTATGTCACTGTACGGCCTGCAACAATGAGCAAAACCCATACCACATAGTATTAAGCTATAAAAGGCCTTGAAATGACAATTGTAAAACAATTCCAACAAGAAAGCCAGTGGCCTGATTTATGTACAAATCAAAAATGAAAAACAAATATGATATACAGCAACAAATGACAACCACTGAATGACTTGGGACAGGCACACACATAATCTGGCAGGGTTAAACATGTTTAATGGCGCCAAACCTTCCCCTAACCTAGGACAGTGTACATACTTCTTCTCACACATTCAATCATCGAAAGGATACATATTTTAAAGTAATTTAAAAACGAATGATAAACGTTTGAAAACAAATGGTATATTGTTAGAGAAAAGGGTGTAGGATATTGGAAATCAGTTCAGCACATGTACAAAAAAAATCTGATACATGAGATATAACAAGCTGTGATAAACAATTAAAGCAACACTGCCACTGTTTTCATAATTACTTTTGCCTTGGTATTTATTAACTGCCTATAGCGCTTACAGTGTTTTGATTTTATTTCATCGTTGATATTTTTATAAAATTCATTAGTGACATTTTTGACTTCATAACAAATCAATATTCTATATTTTTTATTCTTATAAATATTTGTTTAAATTTGGCATGTTGGGGCCGAATCGGCATGGAACGAAACGACAAGTTCCAGTGAATCGTTTCTGATAAATCCTTGTCACGGAAAGCTCTAAAAGACATTGCATTTTAAATGAAATAAAACAACGGTTTAAAAATTTTAGTAGTTTAGATATTAAATCACAATTTATTTCGCTTATGTCTTCTGAAGATATTTTCATACACCATGCAGAAACTCGGAAAATAATTGGAAAATTTATCCTCTCATAGGAAAGTTTCCTTAAATGATAAATAGTTGTAGTAATGCCCAGTGACCCGGCACCCCCTCTTGACCTTTTTCATACAGTATTTTCTGTCGAGATATGGCTTCAGAGATAAAAGACATACTCACCAACTGTTCATATTATTTGTTTTTTCTATATTTAAAATTGGTATTTAAAGGGTTCTCTTTGTTTCCAGTAAATTTGAGGTACATAGACATATGAATAACGAACTTTCTAATAAGGTTCCGTAGAATTCTCTGTATTACGATTTTTGCAATCGTGCGTTCCATAGGTATATCTTTATTGTCTCCCTTTGAATAAGGTTTTGAGACGCACGTCACGTAACTGTGAAATTAAGCTCGTTTACCTTTACTAGTCTAACAAAAGGTAAGTTTTTATATTTGTTGCATTTTAATATTACAATTTCTATATAGGCTAAACCGGAAATAATAATAATATTGTGTATTTTAAACTAAAATCAATATCATCAAAATTCTTTGTTGGATTTGAAAATGTAAGGAAAGCCTATTTAACATTAATAAATAATAAGAATCGCCCCTAGTTTTTACCATAAACTCGATGTACATTGAACATTTCAAATACATGAGAACTAAAATGAGTATGATGTTTGCACAGGCATTTAATGCAAGGGGTTTCTGAAAAAAACCAACCTGTATACTTAAAGATATTTTTTTACAGAGACAATTGCCTATCAGGTTCGTCATGTATTGTTTTTCTTGCATGTTTCCACTGTATCTGTGGCCAAGTTAATACTTCCTGTTATTTCGAAGACTGAATTATATAATTTTATACAGGAGCAACCATTCAACTTCAAAAGAGTATGTTTTTATTAAGTTTTACCATTGTTCGTCCGTCCGCCCGTCCGTCGTCAACATGTCGGACATTAACTCAAAAAAGCTTTAACCAATTTGCGTAAAACTTTGGTGAATTGTTTATATCTCTTGACATGAGCTCCCTTTCGTTTTTTATAAATTTTTGATTTTATGTTTCCGAGTTATGGGGTTTTAATCATTAAAAAAGGTGTGTTTTTGCAGTTTTCGGACAATAATTCAAAATTGCTTACAGCAGTTATTATGAAACGTTGGCAAATTGTTTATATCTATTGACCTGAGCTCCCTTTTGATTTTTATAAATTTTAGATTTTACGTTTCCCAGTTATGGGGTTTTATTCATTAAATAAGGTTTCGAACAATAACTTAAAAATGCTTTTTGCAATTCTCATGAAACTTTGGTTAATTGATTATATCTTTATTTACGTAAGCTTCCTTTTGTGTTCATAAGTCTCTGATATAACATTGACAAGTTATTGAACTTAATTCTTTGAAAATGCGACGGGCATATCATGCGCTCATGGCACAGCTATTTATTATTACTATTTGAATTTTTTTTTCTTTCAGGTGATCAACAGCCAACTAATTTACATTTTTATCATTGTTTATGCAGTAATGATTTTGAAAGTGTATAACTTTAAGAATAAGAATAAGAATTTTATAAGTTTAAAATCCAAACAATAGGATTGTTACTAAGTAAACACACAAACACACAAACAGACAAACAAACAACAAACAAACAAACACACACACAAACAAACAAACAAACAAATAACCGTGAAAACGATAGACATAAAACAATAATAACATCATGAACATGTAGCATTGAAAAAAATCTAGATTATTGATATTTATTATAATACTATTTTTGACAACAAATAACTAGATAACGCCGTTGATCGCTATACATGTAACTGTCTGTGTAAATTTGGAAACAATGTCGCCCAGTCATGCGGTTTTACCAGGCTTTCTTAAAATTTAGTCTCAATCTTCATAATAAGATAATTAAATACTAGTAGATATAACATGCATAAGAAGATGTGGTACTAGTGCCAATGAGATAAATCTCCATCCAAGTCACAATTTGTAAAATGAAAACTATTATAGGTCAAAGTACGGCCTTCAACACAGAGCCTTGTTTAGAAATTCAAAATGGAATAAACTGTGTTTATGACTATTTTTTTTCTTTTTTAAAGACTTGAGGCCAGAAAAAAAAGGGAAAAAAAGATTGAACAAAACAAGAGAAATGACGGGCAACAAAAATACAGCGAATTCTATGAATGTATCTCTTGGTCAAAACACAGGTCACTTTTCAAAGGAAGACACGAGACTCACTGCTGATTGTACTGGTCATGTGTGTAGTAAAGGATTGGAAAAAGAAGAAATGTTCGAGAATATTTGTCAAGTGTGTGATAAAGGGTTGAAAAGTGTTGAAAAGTCCGAAACTTTTCAAGTGTGTGGTAATAGATTGAAAAGTTACGAAAAATCCGACACTACTTGTCAAGTGCGTGTTAAAAGATCTAGAGCGGTAGATAAGTCCGAAGAACATATAACAATTCGATCTGGCAATAAAACGTTTAAATGTGACATATACAATAAAGGAAATAATAAAACACTTATCATACAGTCGCATACTCAAAAACGAACTCAGTCTGATGATAAACGTTTTAACTGTGATGTATGTACTAAAAGTTTTAGTCTTGAACAGCACTTAAAGTCACACATGCGTATACACAATGATGATAAACCTTTTAATTGTGACGTGTGTGGGAAAGCGTTTAAACGACCCAGTCAATTAAACTCTCACATGATTATGCACAATGATGATAAACCTTTTAACTGTGACGTATGTAGGAAAGCGTTCAAACGATCTAGTCAACTAAATTCACACATGCGTATACACAATGATGACAAACCTTATAATTGCGGGGTATGTGGTAAAGATTTTAATCACCGACAAAATTTACAAAGACATATGAGTATACACATTGGTGATAAACCTTTTAACTGTGATGTATGTGGTAAAGGATTTAGTCATAAACAGATCTTAAACTCACACATGCGTATACACAATGATGAGAAACCTTTTAATTGTGACGTGTGTAGGAAAGCGTTTAAACGATCTAGTCAATTAAGTTCACACATGCGTTTACACAATGATGATAAACCTTATAATTGTGATGTATGTGGTAAAGGGTTTCATCAACCTAGTCAATTAAAGACACACATGAGAACACACACTGGTGATAAACCTTATACCTGTGATGTATGTGGTAAAGGATTTGCTGAAAGTGGTAGCTTACGGCCACACATGAGAACACACACTGGTGATAAACCTTATACCTGTGATGTATGTAGTAAATGTTTTAGTTATAAGCAGCACTTAAAGTCACACATGCGTATACACACTGGAGAAAAACCTTTTAAATGTGACGTATGCGATAGAAGGTTTCGTCAAAATAGTGTCTTAAAGACACACACTAGAACTCATACTGGTGTCAAACCATATATATGTGATGTATGTAATAAAGGATTTAGTCGACGTGATACCTTAAATGGACATATGAGAACACATACGTTTGAAACACCTAAAAAATGTAAAGTATGTGATGAAGTATTTCGACAACGACAAGATTTACTAATACACATGGGAACGCATACTGACGAAAACCCCTATACATGCAAAATATGTGGTAAATCTTTCAGTTACAAATGCCATTTAAAGGTACACACGAGAATACACACGGGTGATAAACCTTTTAACTGTGATGTATGCAGTAAACTGTTTAGCCAACGATCAAAACTACGTATGCATATGAAAATACACACTGGTGAAAAACATAATTTTAAGTGTGGTGTATGCGGCAGAAGATTCCGTAAAACTAGTGATTTAAAGAATCACACGACAACACATACTGGTGAAAAACCGTATTTGTGTGATGTGTGTGGTAAAGGATTTAGTCGGATTGATACCTTGCAGGAACATATGAGAACACATACAGGTGAACAACCTTATAGATGTGATGTATGTGAAACCAAATTTCGTCATAGGCAAGACTTACGGATGCATATGAGAACGCATTGACAAATCCTAAACATGTGATAAATGGACATGATGTATCTAATTTAATGTTCAGATACTCACATACAGAATATGAACGTCTGACTTTTCAAATAAAATGTGTGCGCTAATGGTTTAGTCAGAACCAAATCTTATTCTAATATTGAACATGTTGAACTCTCAAACTAAGTTATCCTCAAATCCATATAATTATATTACACGTAGAATAATGTCGTATATCATGTACTTACTCAGTTTGAATAATATAAAACCAAAATTGATTGTGATAGTACTTTTCTTTTATGCCCCTGCCGTAGCAGAGGGGGCATTTCGTTAAATTTACCATTATTCGTCTGTACGTCCGTTGGTTTCCGTTCTTTAATTTGAGATTACCTAAACCAAATGTTATGAAACTTATACACAATTCTTATTACCACAAAATACAGATCAAGTTTGAAATTTGATGACCTCAATTTAACCGTTCTAGAGTTATGCCTCTTTACAAATGGAAAAATGCTGAATTTTTTGTTTCCGTTCTCTAACTTAAGTTTGCCTCAACTAAATGTTATGAAACTTATACACAATGCTTATTTCCACAAAATACAGATCAAGTTTGAATTTTGGGCATGTTGGAGTGTCACTCTTTAATCTTATTGTTTTAGTCTTATGCCCCTTTACAAATGGAAAAATGCTGAATTTTTCGGTTCCGTTGTCTAACTTAAGTTAACCTCAACCAAATAATTATGAAATTATATACAATTGATATTACCACAAAACTCTTGGTATCATCACTTTGATGCTTATCGTTTTTCAGTTATGTCCCTTTATAACTTTATATGATTGACAAGCGGGGGCATCATATGTGTGCCATGGACACATTCCCCATTTTTTTAATTTTTTTTTTTGGCATTCATAATCCTTGATAACTTTAAACATGTTAAATGTAAACTGTAACGAACTTGTACTTATACTTCGAACTTATAACATATTAACTACAGCAGTTTAACAGTTAATGAACGACTGTAATATTTTTTCTTTCTATGAAGAAATAACCTAAAAAATGTGGTGCACACTGAATAAGAAAAGAAAAATATTACAATCTTTCCTTATAATTTAATTCTAAAAAGGCATAAATCATGTTACAACGTTGAAACGTCACGGTCAAAAACAAAATTATGTCTTTGTGCTGATACACTGAAATGCAGTCAAGTTTAGCGATTGATAATTCATTGACAACATTCTAGCGTATCACAAACAAACAACTTGTAACGTCTCACTTCATTGGCCGAAAGATTTAAATACAACAACAATTGTTGTGTGCACGTGAATTGACACAGGTGACCGACAATGGAATATACTACGTTACTACGAACGTAAAAAACAATGATTTTTGGTCGAAATAATTAAATAAGTATTTTGTGAATTTCAAATAGTGGGGTTGAAATATTATACTAATAATTTGTGTTAAGTAATATTCTTTATGCATGCAGCACTTGTACTTGTAATTGCGTGCGTATTAAAATGAAATACAAAATCATACATGTATGATAAACTTATAAACGAAATATTAAGAAATTAAGGATGACTACTGTAAAAGTATGTACACTTGAAAATGGAGTCACCTTTTATCAATACATTTAGTGAATAACCACACTTTTTAAAACTGATTGTTTTCTATGCAACTATTTAAATATTTACAATATATAATTTTCAACCGAGGATAGCAAAACAGTTAATTATAAATTAAGAAAGTATATCGCTAGAGTTTATAAAGTACATTTCCTTCCACTGTGCCATGGTTTGCCATCTCCATTTTTTCTCTAAACAAAGCATGGCTGGTTACATGTTCTGAATTTACTTAGAATTTCGGGATTTTTTTTTCAAAATCAAGTAAACTAAATCAGAAAAAAAATCACACTATCCTAAAACTTATGAAAGAATATGAATAATGAACATGACAGTTTATAACACAAACCCATTTACTATAAAAATCGAGCAATATCTTTAGTATGTAATTTGGTTATTTTTGTAGTTAAGTACGGTTTCATTTCAAGTACAACGTTAATTCATCAAGTCCATTGAATAAAAGACAAGGCAGGGTGAGCAACTTGACAAAAAAAGGCAGGATGACGATTTATGTAAAAAATCAGGATAAACGAATAAATATAGTCAGGACCTAACAGACTGAAAAATAGAAAGACAGGACAGAGATAACAACTAAAAAAAATGCAGGACAAAATGTTTCATCCAAGTCCTTCACCCCCAATCAAAATAAAATGGTAGCTCCCTTAATCCAGGACCAATTGAGAGGAGACAGTTGAATTAAATATTTCGACGTGACTGTTAAGATTAAAGTTTAAAATTTTACATGCACATGTATAAAAGCTAGAATTGCCATGCGATAATCAAGAACACAATCATGTTCGGGAATATGACGATGGAAGTTTTGAACGACCTTGACCGGCTACGTGAATACTGATCAGTCCATTCAGCTTTATAGTACGCGTGTTCTATTTTCGCAGGTGTGAGGTCGAAGGTTTGAATTGACCAATGAAAACGATCGTTCCTTAACGAGTTAATCTAATAAAGTTTGTTTGACTGATTATGTTGCACGACCTTTCGCTAAGCTTGACCGCAGTTCAGTGTAGAACCAATCAGAAGACGTGTTACAGTCAAAATATATAAATTATTTCGTCATTATTTGTAATGTTTTCTGATGACAATACAGTAAAGAGGTAAAGCTGAGCCTTGACCTTGCCAATTAGTTAAGTCTGGCATTTTTTGTGGCACTTTCGGTGTCAGGAACTTTTCCATGAATCTGTAGTTACAAGGGTAGAATTGCCCACTGGATCAGCAGCTGAAATATCAATTGAAATATTTAAATAAAATTCATAATTAATGGAAGTAGGGAATATATCAGAGAGACAACAACCCACCTAAAGGCTAACAATGTTCCAAACACCGCTGATTTCATTCTAAATACTATATTGCATAGGCTTTGAGATGAAGTCAGCGGTGTAAAAAAAATAATCAGATGCATTATTGCAAAGCCTGTTAATTTACTTCCATTTCAGAAACATTTTGAGTCACTTAATTTTGTTATGCCCCCGCCGTAGCGGTGAGGTCATTAAGTTTAACCCTTGTCCGTCTGTACGTACTACGAACGTACGTCCGTACGTCCCAAAATTGGTTTCCGTTCTCTAACTTGAGTTTGCCTCAACCAAATGTTATGAAACTTATACACAATGCTTATTACCACAAAACACAGATCAAGTTTGAATTTTGGTGGCGTCACTTTAACCGTTCTATAGTTATGCCCCTTTATAAATGGAAAAATTGCAAAATATTTAGTTTCCATTCTCTAACTTAAGTTTTCCTCAACCAAATGTTATGAAACTTATACACAATTCTTATTACCACATAACACTGATCAAGTTTGAATTTTGGTGGCGTCACTTAAACCGTTCTAGAGTTATGCCCCTTTATAAATGGAAAAATTGCAAAATATTTAGTTTCCGTTCTCTAACTTAAGTTTTCCTCAACCAAATGTTATGAAACTTATACACAATGCTTATTACCACAAAACACAGATCAAGTTTGAATTTTGGTGGCGTCACTTTAACCGTTCTAGAGTTATGCCCCTTTATAAATGGAAAAATTGCAAAATTTCTTCTAAATATCAAGTAATTTTTAAAATTGGAGTTATCTTCCTTTGTCTGACCATGATTATAGTTAAATCAACTACATGCTTTATACAATGCAATGTTTAATTTTGACTTCCACTGATAAAACACAGATCAACATGATCAAGTTGAATTTGGTTAGTGTCACTTTAACCATTATTGAGTTATCAATGCGTTTCAATGGGGGAAATAACTGGGTCCCCGTTCCTGTCAGAGGGCATATTTTGAACACTTCAATCTGCAATTGTAAGCTTATTTTTGGGGTTACATGGATGAAATTTGGCCAGAAACTTGAAAATTCAATAAGAAAAACAATGGTGTAATTATTTTTAAAATTTAAATTAAACTTTTTAAATTAAACTGAAATTTAAATTTATGAAATTTTTAAAAGTTTGTTTTTCAATTTAATGTTTCAGAAGGGGTCAAAGTAAGGTCATTTTGATGGTATTATGTATTCATACACTTGTAAGTTAAAATGGAGGGAATTTTCAAAAAATATCAGCAAAGAATATTAGAAAAGAGCCACCTGGCAAGAAATAACAAATGTCTTATATGGGATCAGGGGACAACAAAAGATTGAAAATATGGGCTTATTTCTTTCCAGTATCCTATTTCTGGGACCTGGAAAAAGAAAAAAGCCCATAGATTCAGTTTTATGGTTTTTAATTAGTTTTTGATAAGTTTTAAATATTAAATAAAACACGTTATGCCATTTTATGTGTCATAAAAGTTTGTGTGAGAATGCGGCTCACATTACTGAAGAGCCGCATCACATAAATAACGACAGAATATTTTGTAAACTCAGAAAATTTTGCCAGGGGCTCTCCAATTTTAAAGATTGGGGCCTGGATTTTTTTGGAAGATATATAAGGGGTAGGGCTATAGCTTATATTAACAATTTTAACTGAATGTACAACAATTTTAGACTCCTTTTTAAAGATTTTGGTGGTCCTTAAAAGGACCGTTATTTTTGTCTGTATCTTTTTCAGCAGTAGATGAATGCAGCTATATCTTCCTTTGATTTTGGAACTTTTGAAGAACAGCTTCTGGTAGGTATATTCTTCTTAGCAGGTATTACTCTACCATATGAATGATCGTCCTTTATGCTTTTACAAATGCAGCATCAAGTTTTGGATCAGGTTGCCCTTTTTTATATCTGTACATTTACTTCGATCCTTTTCTTCCACATGAACCTTAGTCTTCTATCCGGTGCGTTGTAAATTTTTCTTTTTCCTTTCTGGAGTATTTTGGTTTACTTTGTTCCGTTCACACTCCCTTTACATCTGGTCGAAGTGTTTTAATGAACCTATTGAGATTTTAAAACCAATACATTCTGCTTTTTGTCACAAGGAATAAGCTATACCATTATTCAAATTGTGAATTATTGCTGATGCCCTCCCTTCAAATTTCTAGAAAAGTTCACATTCTTTGGTAAAGAAACACTTAGTGCTCCCTTAACAGCTTCACCTTTTTGAGTATTATGATTAAATTTCATTTTCATAAATACTTCTTCGCTAAGTTTCATTTTTAAAAGTTCCTGCATTATTAACTTGTCTTTGTTATCCATATTCAGGTTGGTTAACTTGTTTGGACTCAAG